GCCGTCCCCCAGAGCGCCCAGGCGCGCCTCGGGTCCGGGGGCCGCGCTCAGAGGCCCGTGGGGACCCCGCTCTCCCCTCCCTGGGGAGCCTGTCCCCTCCCTCGCAGCGGGTTCCGGGGAGCGTCTGGGGCAGGACGCAGAAGGGGGGACCCGATGGGAGAGGGCTTCTGACCCGGCTGGGGAGGAGGCCCCCCTGAGGCCTGGCAGGACTTATAGACACTCTGCTGAGGGCAGGTGGGGATAATGGCCGGGTACGTACCTGGTAATTCCGAGCTCTCTGCGCTTATAATTGATACCCGCGGCCCCTCCTGTAATCAGGAGCCCTCAGACTGACCCTGTGCCCGTCCTCTCCTCTCCTCCCCTCCCTTTAGGGAGGCTATCTGCAGAGGAAGGTGGCTAGGGCGTGGGGCCAGGAGGCTGGGTTTGAGCGGTGTGTGTGTCCCGTGGTCTCAGCCCTGGGGGCTTCTCCCGTGCTGGTCTCTCTGGAAGGTGTTGGCATGGGTGTTGGCTAGGAAGGGGCAAGGCACCCCCCCTGCAGGGTGCCCCCCGGAGCTTGGGGTGGACTTGGCAGGCTGGCCAGGCCCCCTTCAGCCCGTGTGCATTCTCTCTAGAACAGGAGGGTGGTGCTCACCTGTGCACAGCCACCTGTTGCTCGGGCCTGTTATATGCACAGCAAGCATTTTCACCCTCACCCATAGTGAGGGGTGTGTGTGGACAGTGTGGTCCCTCTGCTTGGTGTGACACGTTTGGTACGTCAGGATCTTCCATGGTCAGCAAGGGCAGTGAAGGCGGGCCTCTCTTGCCCACTCCACAGGCAGCCGACGTCTTCCTGGAGCTGGGCACTGGCAGGTGTGCGCTGGGCTTCGCTTGGTCCCATCCAGCTGCCCAGATGGACTGGATTAGTGGAGCCTAAGGAAGCCTCTGCCTGCTCCTGAGTCACAGGCTCTCTCCCTTTATACCATCAGGCTATGAGCCTGTCTGAGGTTTGACTGTGAAGGGCATCTCCAAGCTGGCCTGGGCGTGGCCCTGGGGCATGGGGCACACCTTCCCTTGTAGCTCTGGCTCCTTGTTGATTTCTAGTGGCCCAAGAGGATGTTGAGAGATAGCTCCTTGATGTCAGAGAGGCTGGCCTGAATTCATGTTCCACTGGACTCCCCATGCCTCAGTTTCCCCAGTTTTAGAGAGGGAATGTCTGTAGTTCTGGGCATAGCACCGGCCCCCACATATGGACCCTGTGCATGGCAATGAGTGTGGTGGCCAGGTCACCCCACATGTCCCCCGAGTGGCTGCAGGCCTGGCTGGCATTGTCCCCTCCCTTGGCAAGGCTCATGAAGCCTTTGCTTCTGTAACCAGGGCCGGAGGCCAGGGCCGGCACAGGATTATTTCCCAGCAATGCGGAGTCTGGGACCAAGGCCCCCGCAGGATTGGTTTCTCTCCCCCGTGGATAGAGGGCATCTTTGCCCTGTGTCCTCACGCAGCCCACCCTCCGTGTGTGTCCTGATTTCCTCTTGGTGGTAGTGTCCACTCGTGACCTCGTGGGCCTGCCTGCACATCTGTTCTAAGTGCCAGGGCTCAGGACGTCAGGGTGGCACTCAGCTTCTCCAGAGGCATGGTGGGGGTGAGGGGTAGGGTTAGCCAGCCTCGCTGCCTTCTCCCAAGGCGGCCATGTCAGGGGAAGGAAGGGACCTGAGGGTGCTGAAGCCACTCACCCCCACAGAAGGGAAACTGAGGCCTAGATAGGGCAAAGCAACTGTCCAGGATCAAGGAGAGGGTGCAGCACTGCCCGAGACATCTGGAACAGAGACGCCACTTCACTTAACCTGGGAGTAGGCACCGTATGACATTACACGGTGAAAGATGTCCAACCCGGTACTATCATAACGGCACACAGTTAGGAAGTGGGTGTTAGCCAATCAGCCATTCAGTCAACACTCACCAGTCTCAACACCTGCATGGCTCCAAGCCCTGCGATTCGCACTGGACAAGAACACATGAACGTCACGGTCTCTTGCGGCTTATGTGCTGGCGGGGATGGTGGAAGCATCTTCTTTGCAATGACTGTCAAGTGAAAAGCAGAGAGCAAAGCTTGTTTCTAGCTTGGAGAAGGGTGTGGGCAGGGATGCCATGACCTAGGGAAAGGTCTGGATGATTCTGGAGCAGAGGCGGCATCTCCCTGTCTGCGGCTCAGAGGAGCCGGGCACAGCTGGCTGCACTGTATTCATGCCTTGGCTCCAGCCAGGTGAGGTACAGTGGAGAAGAACCCCCTGACCTTCAAATTCACCCACCTCACCTCTGGAGAGGATTCTGGGTGGGGCTGTGAGCTGGACACAGCCTGGTGGGCCAGGCTCCGCCCCCCAGGCCCTGACCCACTTTCCTGGGGCTTCTGGACGAATTCC